GTTGAGCCCAACAGCTCCTTTTTTGATCAACGGCTCACATTCAAATGGTCGTTGGTCATCCAACGGTCCACATTTAATTTAGTTAATGTTGTTTTATATTTATTCTTTAATAATCTAGGGCTAAAAGTTTAGGTTTTAAGGGTTGGAGTAGAAAAGTTGTTTCTGGGTTAAAACCTAAATTTTTTGGGCAAAAAATTTTAGGTTTTACCCAAGGATTGGAGATGGTCTAACAATTGAAGAAGAGTTTTATTTTAGCCTCATATGTGTGGCTCACGTACTAATAATTAACGGAGAGTTAATGAAAATTTTAATTTTGAACACAAATCCTAACAGACTTCACCATAAGGGTTTAAAATTAAATCCTAATTTTTTTTTTTATCATATGGGCTATCTTACGACTATCCTATTCCTACAGGAACTAATAATCCAATTAGACCTCCAATTGATTAAGTCTAATAGTGTAAAACTTATAAAATGAATCTCCAACAAACCAATCCACCCATGTGGATGTTTTTCTCCATTCAAAACTAGTATATGAGTACGGATATTTCAATCAAGCGCAAAAGGTGTAGATGGGATGAGCCCCAAAATTAGCCCTTCCAAACAATTAAATTAGAAATTGGCCATTCAGATTGAATCACAATCAACCAACAAAAGATCAAACTTAAACAAAATTTAACAATTCCACTAACTTTTTCGGTTTTTCCCCAAGTTTGAAATCTATAAGGCGTTTCAAACACTGCTTTGTGCGGCATAAGAAACCCAAAAACTTAATAAGAAATTCAAATCCAACAAAAAGAACCCAAATTCAACATAAAAACTTGTTTATCCCACTTAATCACTGCCCTGAACAGCAAAACAGAAAAAGAAAAAATTGCAACAAAAAAAAAAATCGAAACCTCTCGGAGCTGCAAAAATACAATATCCAATCCTAACTCCTAACAACGCAACAAAAACACAATCTTTAGAGAAAAAAAAAGAAGAAATAGCAGACGAAATCGAAAAAGATGAAACCTTGGATATGACATTATCTAACGATTCTAACCCTGTATGGCAGAAATGTCAAAGGCAGAAATGTCAAAGGCCGACGTACAGCGAGTTGAAAAGTGGAGGAGGCGTTGATGTCGTGGTCGAGCACCTCGAAGCGGAAAGGAAGTTGTCACAGAGTGAGGATGCGGCCTGAAAGTTGTTGTCGCAGGGTGACGGGGCGGGTGACGTAGGGTTTGCTTTGTGATTTGGGTAGTGGAATTATTGACAAAGAGGAGTGTTTTGTCGCGTCAAACGTGAGATAAACTATTTTTGTCTCACTGTGTTTCGTCTCATCCCAATCTGCTATCCAACGTGCCCGTGTGCCTGTAATATGTTTGATGCACTAGATGATTATCTTATGTTCAAACAGTACATCATTCATCTAATAGATACTTATTACGGTGTTACCAATTATAAGAGAAATTCTGTCGCATACATAATCTTGTTAGTTAATTTGGACTGGTGCAATTGCAATATGGCACTACGATGAGAGATCATAAGTTAGTCTTACTATAATTATGCAGAATGTCTCTTGTCGGGTTGTCTTGTGCAAGAATGAATCCATCTATATCAAGATTTGCCTCAATTATTAGATGTATAGATTTGGAATATACAATACGACAAATAAGCAGTGTACCGCTCTAGTTAAAAGGCAGCAACATTTTGGTCACTGTCTATGAAAAAACAGACATGGTTCATTGAAGTCTCAAGACTCTCAAGTAAAGAAGATATGCACCATAAAACAAAGAGAACTTTTCATTGAGGGATTTATCTTTGATATTTTCTGCTTGGCATTATTAGTTGTTCGGGGAGGAGAATTGGTGGGGGTTGAATCCGTACTAGGGTGCATAAGCATCACTACTTGCCGCCATTGCGGTAAAACACCATCTGCTTACTACCTTAAGTTATGTTGTTGGTCCATTTGTTAGATATCAACTTTATCTTTTACTCATCATTTGACGCATCCTACTGTTGAAGAATCGGATCTCATATGGCAAAATATCATATAGTTAATATATTAGAGTTTCTACTCTAATACCAGGGCTTTTTTGATAACACCAACATCTACTAAAAGTAAATTAGAAAGTGTTTTTTGGAATGTGAGTATTTTTTTAACCCAAAAGTAAGCTTTTTCTTCTGAACGTTCTCGAAAGCATTTTTAATGATCTAAATCCAATATTCGTTATTCTATAAGAACTTCCATAAGGGCATGTAAGCTCTTGATACCATTACACTTAAAAAAAAAACGCTTCAAACTCAATACTACATAAAAAGACCATGCTTTGCACGAAAACATGACTAAAAAATTGCAACTACGAACCAATTAGAGCATAACAAATAGATAATTAGAGTTCTCCAATTGAGCTCCTTGAAGCTTTCTTTTCCCTGATTTACGAAAAGGTACTCATTAAGTCCATGGTTTCCTACCCCAAAAAAAACAGGTACTCTTAAGGTTGGGAACTTGGGAGAGGCCTTAATTAAACAGCGCCAAATTAAAGTGCCTCTCCTCTCTTCAAACTGCTGAAACCAAGTAATGAATGGATCTGGCTCTCCTATGCATTACCAGCAAATTTTGCTTCAGCCAACGACCACCACCATTCACATTAAAATGCCTTCTCCAAAACAAAAAATTCAAATTCACCGGCAAACAAACGTACATGGTATAAATAAGAAAAGGCAGTTCAACAGTCTGAAGTACTAGACAACCCCTCGGAATCCGACAGTATCATATACCTGAGAGCACTAATGGGAAACCGTAGAGCCAATGAGATACTGTCAATGATGACAGAGGCGAAAGACGTTCATTTCTAATTAATAATACTAACACGATAACAATAACAAGAATGAAGCGCCTATGCAGGGGCTTTGGGGCTGAAAGATTATAGCTTGAATTGCTATTGCGACTACAATACAACCTAAGGCTACAGCTACATATTGTACAATACATGAATGTTGAAACTCCCTTTGCAGATTAGCTCAAGCATGCCCCATTTTTGCACTAGGCTACCTGTATTGACACAATAACTCAGTATAGATCGTTGAAAGAGTTCGAGCATAGCAAAGGGTTACAAATTTAAAGTCAGATGAAAAAGAAAATAAATCGTTTGCTCAGTTACAGACGTTCTGAAACAAGGGAACATCTATGAGGTCCAAAGCATCACAAGCTCAAAAGGCTAAGAACCCAACAATACAGCATAAAAGAACTAATGGTATATCACACCACATCAATTTTTTTGGTGATACAGGCAGGTGAACTTCACACCACATTCTTAAATGGTTGAAAATATACCTTTTTTTCTCTCTACTAAATGATCAGAGGCAAATGAGTCGGTTAACATACAAATTCTCAGTAATTTATTATTAATGCTCTTTATTCGTCAATATTTATAAAGCTACTATGCACCATTGCAATATGAAGGTAAAAGGAACACTCAATTGGTAATTGTCAATGTAGTTTAATAAGTCCTGCGAGAAGCCTACTCCAAATTTCAATATAATAAACCTAAATTATAATATCACAACAGTTTCACATACCTGATCAAAGAGAGCATGTTCGAGTTTCCATAACCAAGAAGAATAACCACCAAAAAAATATACATGCATAAGTGGATTACTCGGGAACAGGCTCCAATACCCCTTTAAACTCATCATAAATCCATCTGTAAATATAAAAATAAATAAATAAAATTATTAAAGAACAAGGTGAAAATATTAAGAAACAAATGGAATTATCCTACCACATAACAGGCTAAAAAACGGCTACTCACAGCAAGTCCACGTGTGCACACATACAGTGTGAGTGAGTTTTTTTTTTTTTTTTTTTTTGGGGGGGGGGGGGGGGTTGTGTGGGAAGAGTATAGAATCTAGGCATTTGTGGAGATAACACAGTAACATGCACAGAACAATTATTTATTTCTGTGCCATGTAAGAACTAAAGAGCCTTACTTGCAGAGGAAGATTGGTTGTAATTCATTATCTGCCTCATATCCTAACTGGCTCCGTCTTTCAGTTTCTACACTGAACTTAGCAGGAGAAAGAACTTCACAAGGACCACGAATCAAACCAGCCATTACATTGCTATCATGATTAGACTCATAGACCTGCAACACAAACAAAGAAAAAATATTAACTACCATATGGATGCTGTAATATTGTACTCTACATGTCAATACAAAATGGGAGTGAGAGGCCTTTAAATCACCAGAGTGTTAAATAGAATTGCACCATACATAGTACCATTATATAGATATATTATATTGGTGCATGTGTTCGCAGTCATGTCCACCACGACAAAATCAGTAGTCCTATTCTACTAGTCAACTGATATGCCAACCACTGAGTTTTAATGTTGATGTGAACATCTTACAACAGAGAGAAATACATAGAACAGTACTTTTTGGTCATCTCATAGAACAAAAGTTTACCTCATTGCTTTCAGGTGTAGATGGGCGACCAACGTTCTCTGGTAAGTCACCAGGAAAGTAGCACCTGTTGACAATAGCCCACTTTGACCCAGTTTTTCTATCCTCCCACATGGACTGCAATGAAATTACAAAGTTCATTACAAACCTTCTAATATAAAGAAAAAACTCAATATAACCCTAAACAAATGACAATGTTTCTAAAACAAACAATAAGTGATTCCACTAGACTTAGTGACCAAAAATAACAGACGACTCTATTCCAAAGACTAATTTCAGTAACAACATAATGTAATTCTCCAAAATGCTACTACTGACGTATCAAGGGATGCTTAATAATTCACTTACCTGAAGCTTTGAAGGTATCAATTTTCCATGACTAGACTGGAAAAGAGCATGATCTCGCAGTTGATATGTTACCCCATCAATGCAACAAGTATGGTAATATATTTTTTCATCACCACCTTGAACTGCATCGCCAATCCATTGAACAGCTTTCAAGCCATCTGAAGAAAAACCGAAATGCTCTAGAGACCTACCACTAGCTACAGAAATTTCACAAGTATTTGCTTGTGCACCGCTTTGGTCATTCCGTTTGATGTCATATCTTAAAGAGGAGCCAGAGTTTCCTACAGAGTGAGAAGTATCTGGGTCTTCCAATGCAGAATTCTGGTCATGGAATATCATTGATGGAACTTCTGAAGAGTTGGGCAGCCAAGCACCGTCCACAACTTGTGTGTTGGAAGGGGGTTGGGAATGATCGGACTTACCAGTATCCTTGTTGGAAAAATCAGCAGAAGCTTCTGGTTTTGATTCAAAATGTATCTCTTCAACTCTAGATGGTTCAGTAGTTTCTTTTGGTTCAACAGGAGGCTCTGCTTTTGAATCAGAAGGTCTCTCTTCAACTCTAGATGATTCAGTAGTTTCTTTTGGTTCAGCAAGAGGCTCTGCTTTTGATTCAGCAGGAAGCTCCGCTTTTGATTCAGAAGGATGTTCTGCTTTTGATCCAGGTGTCTCTTCAACTCTAAATGATCCAGTAGTTTCTTTTGGTTCAGCAGTAGGCACTCTGCTTTTGATTCAGCAGGGCACTCCGCTTTTGATTCAGCAGCAGGTTCTGCTTTTGATTCAGAAGGTCTCTCTTCAACTCCAGATGATTCAGTAGTTTCTTTTGGTTCAAGAGGAGGCTCTACTTTTGATTCATCAGGATGCTCCGCTTTTGATTCAGCAGGATGCTCTGCTTTTGACTCAGCAGGAGATTCTGCAATTGATTCAGAATCTTCAACTCTAGATGATTCAGTAGTTTCTTTTGGTTCAGAATGAGGGTCTGATTTTGATTCAGAACATTTCTCCTCAGATCTTTCACTTGACGGGTAACTTCCAGAAAGAGGATTCTCATCCCTATTTTTACTGCTTGATACGAGATTCTTCCGTTGAGATTCTTTTGCAGTTAAAATCTTTAGATCTGGTGCTGACTCAATGTGATTGCTGCTCCCACCACCTATACCAGCAGTATTCTGCAAAACAGAACTTCCATTTGCAGCTATATTCGGCTGGTTGACCCTTGGATCTAAATTTTCCAGTTTATTCTCCAAGGACATTTGAATTCCAGCTGTGTTAGAAGGAACTTTTACTTGTATATTACTTCTCATCACACGTCCATACTTCGGAGGCAAGGGCTTTCCATTGCTCAGTGACAGGCATCTCATGCAGTGCCACTCACCTCTAGGAATTCCTCTCTGGTTAGATGACTGTGCACACATTATGTGATATCCTCTCTCACACGCATCACAAATAAGAACGTTATCCACCTCATTGATCGTAAGCTGGCAACTCTGGCAAGTCAAAGTCTTACTCATGTAATCCCTTGACGGAGGAATCCATGTAGGATGATCAGGAGGCTGTGGTTGTAATAATTTCTGAATAACTTTGGCAATTTCATTGTGATTATTAGAAAGCTGAAGGAGTTTTAACAAAGTGCATCTGTTGCAAAGGCTGATGTACAACGGGTAGATTTCCAGAAGCTGATTGAGAGACAAATGGTTTAGTATTCTGATTCCGCGCAGCTACAGAAGTCATCTGTTGCATACTGATACCAGTACTTCCGTCAACTTTGACAGGTGTATAGTTTGGCACCTTGTGTTCTGGTCCACTTTTAGCAGATTGAGCTTGCACTGACCAAGCTGGAGCATTCACTGGTGGATGTGGATGATTTGCAAACGAATTTGCTGCACATAGAAAATATGGTGTAAATACTTACATAGGCAGAGAGGAGATAGAATCAGTAGTAATGAAGTAAAAAAAATTCCAAAAAAGATACCTTTCCGTACAAGTAAAGTTAAAGGACATCAATTACCTTGTACTTGAAATGCATAAGAAGACGCATTTGCATTTGGTCCTCCGTCTGATCTGAACTGTGCTCTTTCAACTTTAGGCACCGTTGGGGAAGAAGAATCTCTTCCTAGATGACTACTAGGAAAACCACTAGACACCATGGATGCTCTAACATCATTGTTGGGAAACTGATACTGTGTAGGTGAGGGAGTTGCCGTAGATGCATGAAAAAGAGATGGAGAAACGGGGAAACCTCCCGAGGAAATTGGTGCATGACTTGGTTTGCTTGTAGGAATCATATGAACGTTATGTGGCATCCCATGGGTTTCAGCCGCTGCATTTAAGCTTGTTTTTAATGGGTGAGATGGATGTGCAGCAGGTTGAGCTTGTGCAGAGAATTTCTTGGATTCTTCCATCTAGAAAAGAATTTCAAGTTCAGAAAAAAACATTGTACAGAGTCCAAAAAATCCTAAATTGGTTGTTCGGCAGCCTTATATGCTGTAATATGGCATCAGCCACAATGTCAATAACTTCTTGGTCGAATGACTTTAAACTTCACAACTAGCTACTATTCTGAACACTAGCACACTCGCTTACAGAACTCTGATATTTTTTTTAATAAAAATGAAACCTTTCAGTATAACCGAGGACCATCACTATGCAGTTAAGTGCATATATACTCATGATGAAGGTAACCAACAAGCCCAACATATTCTTCCATCTAGAAAAAGAATTTCAAGTTCAGAAAAAATAGTTTTACAGTCCAAAAAATCCTAAATTGATAGTTCGGAACAATCATATGCTGTAATATTGCAGTAGCCATAAAATGTCAAAGACAACTTCTTGGTCGAGTGACTTTAAACTTCACAACTAGATACTAATCCAAACATTAGCACACCGCTTACAGAACTCTGATACTTGTTTGAATAAAAATGAAACCTTTCAGTATAACCAAAGACTATCACTATGCAGTTAACTGCATATATAATCATGACGAAAGTAACCAACAAGCCCAACATGTTCACATCAACTAAGCCAAATAGCTCCACCGTGACCAATTAAGAAATCATAACAAAAAATGCTTCCTCCCTTAATTTCTCAAAAACCATGCAAATATACCTTAAACGCATACAAAATCAAAACGCCAAACCATATGAACTATATTATTATCAGTCCATTACGAACAATTTATAATTCAGAATTAAAAGTTTCTTTCTTTTTTTATTCAACACTTTCCCACCAACCAAACAACAAATCATACAAATCTAGACTAAAAACCCTACCCAACAATCTCCAAACTCAAAATCAAACCATATCCAATCAAACAATTGAGTCCTTACCTTCCTCTTCGTCTGTGAAAACTTCTCGGAAATCGTCAACTTGGGACCCCGGAACCCTAATCTCTGTTCCTTAAGCTTAGCATTAAGCCCCAAATCCTCAATCACAGCGCCAATTGCATCCCTGCCCACAATATCCTTAGGCGCCAAACCTTCACACAGCTCCACCAGCTTCGACCTAGCTTCCCCCATAAGCCCAATCTCCGGCTCCGTGGGCTTCTTCCCCCCTCGGATCTTGGCCATGGTTGACAAGGCCAGAACAATCTCCGCCACTCTCCTCAGATCCTTCTCCGAATTGGGTCCCAATCTGGGCTTCTTGTTCAACTGGGTCCCCAAATCTCCTTCTCCTCCATTCTCAATCGGCCTCTTTTCCCCAATTGAGACCGCCGGCGGGGGCAGCTGAGTGGGTTCGGCGTTCAGGGGTGGATCCATAATTAAGGCGCTGGGAGAGCGAAGCCCCTAAACAAGGCCGTTTTAGGAGCAAAGGAAAGGGAGCTCAAAGAGAGACAGAAGGCGAGAGAGAAACCCTAGAGAGGCCAGAGGGACGGAGAGGCTTAGCCGTTGGGCGGGTTGGGGGATTTGAAAGGGCGAAAATTTTGTGAGGGAGAAACCGAGAAAGAATAAAGCTTTTTTGGCGGGTAAATTTGAGGGTTTTTTTTGGGTGAGTGATTAAAATTTGATAATATGGTGAGTTTGCGAGCGAGTTAGAGAGAGAGATTTGGGTTTCAATTCGATGGGGGAACGAGTGAGTGGACGAGCAGGGCGAGATTTAGAGAGAGAAGGAGTAGAGAGAGAGAGAGGGTTATTTCGTCTTTTAGACATGGATGCACCGTGGGCCTTGGATATAAATAGATACGCGTTAGAGTTTTGGACTGTCCCCATCTTGTTTTAGAGGTTTTTCTTTTGTCAAACATCTATTCTAGAGTTACACCCATCTGGCCCTATATCCAAAGAGATCTGAACCGTTTATTTTGTAAGTCTTAATTTATAGATTATTTTTGTAAAAATTTAAGTTAATCCAAAATCATTTGCTTATTTGATTACGACAATGAAATTTCATTGTTTCTTATAGAACAAAGTGTTCGTCCATTTTTTTTAATTTAATTAGATGTCTTAAATATTTTTGATTTGGATAATATTTTGTAAGGATGATCTATGAGGTCCAACGACGGTTCGGATCATTGAAGTTCAATATGATGTGGGGCCCACAACTAATCTTCACTTTAAAAAAAAAAAAGAAAGAGGAATCCATTCTCGTCCCACTTATTGTTTTATTTTGTTTGTTTTTTGTTTTTTTGTCAAAAATAATAAATAAATAAATGGTGTAAAATTTGGCTCTTCAAGAATTACGAAAGAACTTCTCCTTAAAATATCTTGTGATCTCTGGCTACAAAAGAATGCTCTTCAAGATAATTGTAAGTATGGTTATGCACCCACACTCAACCTCCAATTTCTATTCATGTCCTTCTCCAGGGTTGACTCTCTTTAATAAGAATTGTGACCTGCATTTGTTAGTACCAATATTCCTAGATCCTTTCTCTTGTTACTATTTGCATCAGAATTTTGATCATTCGTATCAGATTCCCCAAATGCGAATTTATATTCGCCATGTCTCTCACATGAAAATATTATTTGAGGTATCACTTCCACCTTCATCAAACCCCTCACACATCAGATCTCTTGACAACAATAATCATGTTATTCATTTTTTTTTTTTTTTTGGGGTGTAAGTCCAATCAAGCAAATCGATTTTACTTTTGAACACTTGCACATACAACAAATAAAGTTTGGCTATTTATAAAGCTTTTACAATATACTAAAAATAGTTATCTTATTAGTTGTAAAGGTGTTTGTGTAGTCAACCAAGTTTGATTGCTTATAAGGCTTTTATAATATACTAAAAATAATTACCTCGTTAGTTGTAATTATGTTTTTGTACTTGACCATGCTATTTGTTGCAACCTCAGTTTCCCCTACAGAAGCATCGCCTTGTGGGTCATCATGTTTAAGTATACAAAAAATTTGTAACAAACTCCTCATTCATATTAAGGGTTTGCTGAAATAGTTTTCTAAATTTAGAAGGCGACAACTGAAAAACCATGAAAATGATGAACTAGTATAATATTCGGCAATAGTTTGCCGAAATATTTTAATTTGCGGCAAGGAGCTACGTACCCAAATTATGTAGAATACTTCGTCAAGGATCTACTAAAACTTTTCTACACGATTTAGGGTTTATGCTAATTTATTAAGAACCAGCAACATAAAAATTCATCAAAATTGTTGATTTGCATGTGCTTAATAGAAATTAAATATAGCTTAATTTGACAAGCTTTATAAATTTACAGAGATAAAGGGAGACGTGAAAGTTTTGGCCGTGCTACCTTTACCAATCGATGATGGAAGAGAAGTGGGGAGGAACAACAGAGAGGGAAGCCAATCGAGACATATATGGTTACGCATCATCAACCATACTTTTTCAAGGGATATCATTCATAACACAGTTATAGGAAGCTGCTAGTGAGCAAAATAGTAAGAAAACCATCAAGCAAATATATCCCGAATATTTATCAAGATATCGAACAATTTGCATAACGAGGTCTCTGAAATCACTAAAACAATGAAAAAAATATATATATAATCTTATCTTATGTGGAGCTTCCAGAATGTTGATTTTATGTTCCATTTGTTTTTTTTTTTTGTTTTTTTTTTTTTTTTTTTTCCAATCAAAGTGTTTGTAGTTTTATTGGTTACAGTTTTGTTCTACAATAGAGAGTGAGATTGGCTTTAAGAGTTGAAGATAAATAATCTTTGGATGTACGAAATTACACATTATAATTTATAAGTGATTTGAGTGCATTCATAATTTTTATTTAAAAAAAACCCTTAAGAGATGGAAATTATCATTGCACATAAGTGTATATCAACCATTTAAATTTTAATACAGGATGTATTATACGATATACAGGGTGTTCATAAAAAATTCTATATGTTTAATCTTGTATATGGTGAGTTTGATGATAATTTTTAAGGAAGACTAATGAAAAGGGCTTGAAAACTTTGAGTTTTAACGAAAATGACAAAAAAATGTTGTAAGTGAATAGTACCAAGAGTGACTTTTTAGAGTAAAAATGTGGTTTTTTTTATCAAAGTGAACAGTACCGGAAGTGTTTGGTTAAAACTCCCTAATCTTTATTTATTTATTTATTTTGGAACAAACGAGACTATCTATACTAAGGGAGGGGGTAGGCTTAGTCTTATAATGGGCTAACAATAATGTAGTTCAAATTCGCCTTTGACGAGAATCGAACCTAAGTCCTCTCACTTATAAATAAAGAGGAATACCACAAGAAAAACGTAATACTTCCATCCAGAAAAAATAAAAAATAATGATTATTGTATAGACCCCAAATCTCACCCAAATATTTCCAACCGGTGGCAGTGGAATCCGCTAGAACAAGAGAACCAATCATCAGGGGATGCCGCCTCTCAGACTTTTTTTGCCCAAACCAATGTAACTCTTCATGCAGCAAGATACCAGGTTCAGTCATTTGTATTCATGTAGTAGGGAAAGAAGCACTCATTTGTGCTAATGGAGATGGTTAAGTGGGTTTCTTGTCAATCTTGGCACCAGTAGACTAGGGTTTAGCCATCATCAATAACAATCCTATGCAATTTTATCAATTACTTATGAATTTCCACATACATGCTTTGAATGTTAGATTTTCCTAATGCATATTTTCCTTGTGATGTTCAAGCGAAAACGTATATCTAACATGCAATCTGTCTGTGATATTTAGATCAAATATAAACATGCAAAACTCATTAAGTTTGTGAAAACCGTTTGAAAAACCATACAACCTTTAAGAGCGTGATGTTCGTCTTAATTGAACTTACAATTACTAATTACTAGAAGTCCTTTTCAATTTCAAGGTGATGTTCCAACAGAAATTGCATCAATTACATGTCTAAATATCCTAATGGTGATCAATCATTAAAATATATAGATAGTTTTAGGAAATTGTTATTGACACTCCAAAAATCTCATTTTGCACTCCAAACTTTCTATAATTAGTAAGAAAATGACACTTATGAGGAGTGTAGAATGAAATTTTTAGAGTGTTAATAATAGTTCCGTAGTTTTAATCACAATGATTAATAATTCAAAGCAAACATGCATCCATTTATAAGCAAATTAATAAAATCACATATTCATGCTAAGGCTCATGGCCTCGCCCTAGCAATAGAAATTAGTTACGCATACTCATAATAAAAATCAAAGAAAATATCATTAACTAGAAAAATGATTGAAAACACCTTGTAGGTAAAAATTTTGAAATTCTCCAAAGCTTTGCTAAGTTCTCTCAATGTCGCGTAGAGAACTTAATGGCTAAAAAGTCTTATTTATACTACTACAAATTAAAGCCCTCATAGAAAAGGTTTTCTAAAAACTAGGAGATAAAATAATAAAAGGATAACTTAAAAACACACTCCAAATCCGAAATTTGTTCAGCAAAGAAATAGCCATGTTTCTAGACCTTCAACATTCCAAAACAAGCTCAAAATGACTTGAATTAAGGGAGTTTTAATGAAAAGCCCATGATACTATTCACTTTAACGAAAAATCATATTTTTACACTAAAAAGTCAATACAGGTACTATTCACTTTACCCTTTATTTTGTCCTTATCATTAAAACTCAAAGCTTTTAAGCCATTTTCATTAGTTTTCATTTGAATTAAATATTAGGACCTCCTCTTCGAGTTCCAAGAAGAGCCCAATCCACAATCCATCATCTTCTAGCCCAAAAGTCACAACAAGCTTTGTAGCCCAATCTGCCAGCACTGCATGCTGGGCATAAATTAATTCGCCACGATCAGATGGTTTGAAATAAAATAATGAAATTTTGACACAACCTTCTTGAAAGACTCACAAACCCGCTCCAATTGGAATCACTCAAAAATTCCACCGTTTGATTACTTTTATGCTTAGAACAAGTTCGCATGTCCTACATTAAAAGTACATAACAAAGTATCAAAATCTCACCAAAATAATGACCAAAATATACCAATAATAGGGAATAATATATAGCATAACATCAACTCATCATTCATTTTAAGTGATAAATATGTTATACGCTTATTTCAAACGGTCCAAAATCAAAACTTCATAAATCTCTCTTAAGACCATCTCCAACCCATAAGATACAGCCTAAAATATAAAAATCCCCCAAACCATCTTCAACCATTAAGCTAAAATAAGCCGTGGTGAGAAAATATATCTTAGGACTAGATTTCCCTCATGATTTAAGCCTAGCTTAAATTATTCTAGACCCACCAAATTGTCATATTTCAAACCTTTTTTTTTTAATTTTTTTTATTTATAATCTAACAGCTATGACCAAATATGATCAAATCTAATGGTAAAAAAAAAAAGATTTGACGGTGCAAAATTAAATATAACGTCTAAAATAATTTAAGAAAATTATTTAAATCACATTTAACTTAAAACTTTATAAATACCTATGTACTTGTATGATTTTGAATTACTTATTGGAATTTAAACTTTTTTAGATTAAAATATTCATAAAATTAAATTAGGATTGTTACATCCCACATCGCCTAGGGGAGTGGATCATGTAAGCCTTATATGTATATTCCCATCTCTACCTAGCACGAGGCCTTTTGGGAGCTCACTGGTTTTGGGTTCCATCGGAATTCCGAAGTTAAGTGAGTTTGCGCGAGAGTAATCCCAGGATAGGTGATCCACTGGGAAGTTCTCGTGTGAGTTCCCAGAAA